ACCAACACACACACACACACACACACACACACACACACACACACACACACGGCCGACAGACGAGGCCGGGCTTGCCCGAGAGCGACGGCAGAGTAGGAGGAGCGGCGAGAGAGGCCAAACCGCTACGTGCGCGCCGTTAATGGAAGCCCGGCCGCCAACAACAAACAAATCATGGGCGCCCAGCTGAGCAGCGGCCGCCGGTGGCTGGTCCGGTCCGGCTCAGCCCGACCCGGCCCGACCCGGCTCCGCGCGTGTTCCAGGAGCGCCGGTGCCGGCCCTTGACCTCGTCTGCCGCTGTTTGTTGGAGCCCAAAATGGACATGCCAGTCACACACGCACCGTGTCTAGTACTGCCGGCTGAATTCGAATGGATGCGCACTGTCATGATTGCGTTGTGAATGCTTATTTGACCTACAAATCACGGATGCGCACGGTCTTTTGAAATTGTCGTATGGTTGTGCCATAAGACGGAGGCAGAATCAAAGCCACGCTCCTGGTTGGAGAACAGTATACCTCCATTTCACATCCCGTTTTGTTGCGGTATTGCGTAGCGGTTGCACGCGCGTCCCTGAGCACATGTGATCACCGTGATCACGAAGTGCGCCTGACCTCAGCCTGACTCTATCCTGATCCCGTTTTAGCGCTGCATGTGTGGCGTTATAGTTCAGTTGTTGGAATCCCGGCGCCGCCGATTGGACCGGCGGCTGCACGGCTTCCAGTGCAGCCGGAGCAGCATCTCTCCCTGCCGGTGACTGCCGGTGGGCCAGTGACGGGCTCTTTTCGTTGCCCGGCCTGCTGGCAGCGGCATGCTGGAGCCTCACCCCCGGCCGGGGGCCACCGGTCTCTGCACGCCGCCGTCGATGATCGCTGACGCACCGTGGCGTGGTTACTGGCGGAGTCGGCACACAGCGAGTGACCTAATGGCCTTGGTGGCAACTTCGCGAAATGCATGACGTCAGGCAGTGTGTATTGCAGCAGCGGGGCGGATCTGGTGTGTTGGTCATGCTTCCATTTGATTCCAGAGCATTCGTCGTAATATTAACAACAGGCAATTTGCCGTTCAAACACGCAAAATTGAGTCCCGAGTTTGCACGTCAACGACCGAATGACTGTGTGTTTCTGGGATTTCTGAGGAAACCTCGGAGATCCCAGAAGTACAGAGAAACTCACCTGTGATGGCGTGGGTCGCAATGTTCGAACGTTCCAAACTCGCCGCGCGTATTATGCAGAGGGTAGATATAAATTAATGCTACCGTAATTTTGTCTCTTCGCCGGCCTCCACACGCGCAATTCTTTGGCAACTTATCTGTTGCCCTTTGACCTCGGACTCTGACATCTGACCTGCCCGGCCGATTTGCTAAGCCCGAGGCGCCGAGATTCCGGATCGATCGCCGCCCGGCTCGATGCTGATTGGCCGATCCGGAGCAAAGGGAGAAGTAACGGGCAGTGAATCCTGAACCGGGAATATAGCGTGAAAGAGCGTCGACATCCCTGCCGCCCAAGTGACCGAATATTGAAGCACTGCAGTATAATCAAGCGGGCTCTGTCTGTAATTGCGCGCGGGCGTTCGCCGGACACAACGCCTATCCATATTGCTCGTCTTGATCCAGGCCGTGTGGTCGGTTGGCCCCGTGCCGTGGGTGCGCCCCGCCCACCCCACGTTGTGCAGTCTTTCGAGTTTCGGTCCAGGTCCTCCGGCCCCGGTGGCGGAGACGGAAGTGTTAGCCTCCGGTGTAGAGCCTGAAAGGCTTTTATGCAGAGCTTGCACCCAAAGTTAGTTTTCTCTCTTTTCTAAACCCATACACACACCCGTAACTTTTTCCATAGCTTGCACCTACCCCAACAGCCCACCCCATATGGGCACCCATGGGTTTACCCAAGGCCCGGTTTACCCAGCCTGTGAATTCCTTTACCCAGGCGGATGGTCACGTCCCAAGCGGCCTCGGCCCGCTCCCTGCATACACACACAGTGGCCGGCCGGTCCGCCCGCCCACCGCATGCCGGCCGGCACGCGGCACCCGCCGGCGGCCGCCTCCGGCGCCGGAGTGCCAGGAATGCCACGAGGCCTCCCGGGGCTGTTCAGTGCGGACCCATCTGCACTGTTTGCCGCCGACGCTGAGCCTGTAATCACGAGCGCCGTCATCGTGCTGGCGCTGCGCTGTCGACCTGCGCGGCTTTGACGGCCACGCACTGATATCCGTCACAGCTCCGAGTTAAAAGCCACGGCAGTCGGCCGTCTCACCTGTCCCGAGCACGCGCGCGGTGCCGCTGGCCAGTCACCACCTGCCGGGCACGGCGCTCCAGTCCGAGGGCCCACGCGTCGTCGTGTGCCTTGTTTGTCAGTCGAGTGGCCTGGGCGGCTGTTATCAGCAGCGGTGACAGCCGGCCGTGGTCAACAACACTGCGCATTTATATTCGGCTGTTTTAATGACGCATTGCAACAGAACCCGCCACTCACCCGGTGCAGGCCAGCGAGCGATGGCAGCCGTCGCCGGGGCGGCTGAAGCCCATCAGCGGCTATCGGTGCGTGCTATCGGATGTCGCACAGCGCTGTCTGGAATATCAGGGGCGACAAGTAAGATGACAGATCACAGTGGCGTTGTCGTTCTCGCCGTAATCAATTCGCAAGCTCGACAGACAAAACAAGGTTTTTGTGAGTGCGAGCCCCTTCACGAATCTATTGTGGTGCAGTCTGACGCCTTTTTCATAGGAACAGCGCTTGCGGCTGGGCTCTGGTGGTGACCAGTCGTTGTGCCGGGTGAATTAACCCACCTGAAACCTCGCCACGGAAGTTCGGCTTGATTTGCGCCATAAACCCGGCTTCAGTGCGCCGTTGGTGTTCCTTATCTCTCGAGTAACGGGGGTGCGGGTCAGAAGTCGACCATTGCGGCGCCGTTGGCGGCGATCGAGCCGCTCCGGCCGGCCGTGGCTCGGCGAGAGGTCGGCCCAGGCTCTCAGAGGCGGCGACCGGCGACGAGGCTGGTCCTGGCGCCGATCAGAGGTCAGCGGGACTTCAGAGGCGGCGGCCGACGCCAAACCCCGGTCCTGGCGCCGGTCAGAGGTCAGCAGGGGACCCAAGAGGCGGCGGCCAGTGCAGAGGCTGGCGCTGGAGCCGAGGCCGCGGCGCACAACGCTAGTGCGGGTGTCCGCGATCGCTCGGCATCGGCGAGCCTCCCGTCCGCTTTCTACTCCCTCCTAATCACCGACAACAGCCATTCGGGTCAAACAATCTCTTGCCCATAATCCGGCTTCAGTGCTGACGTCGCGGTGAGGCGCACGCCGGGGGCGGCGCGGGCCGTGGCCACTTTCCTGCGACCGGCGCGCCGCGCCGCCGCCGCGGCCCGCATTCCATCCGTGTCACGTGACCACGGCCGCCGGTGAGCGGCGACCTACTGGGCGGCGCGGCGCGCGCACTGCGTGCCCGATCGGCGCCGATCACGTGGGCCGACGCCGCTCGGGCTCGCGCTCGGCCCGGTCTGGCACGGTCCGCGGCCGCGCAGCCGCCGCCGGGGGCGTGGCAGCCTCTGACGTCCCTCCGATGATATGCGGCGCTCTGATAGAGGCCGCAGTCGTAAAATCCGGCGCGGTTTAATATGGCGGATCGGCTGACTGGCTGCAGCGATGCCGGTCGATAGATGCCGATTGGCGGGTTGCAGGCCGCCGCCGCCGCCGCCGCCGCCGCCGCTGCCCTCGTCCGCCGACTCGGCCGACTCGCTGCCGCTCTCGGGCGCTCCTGCCGGGGTGGGCCCTCCTCCGGAGAGCACGGGACACTCCTCCAGCCGCGACGCGGCCCGGCCGACCGGCTGCGGCAGCGCGGCGAGCGCACCCGGCCGTGCAGCCGGACGAGTCGCCGACCGGCCAGATTGTCGCTGGAATGTCGTCCGGCGGCCGCCGCCAACCCGTCCCTGGCGGCGGCACCGTGTGAAGTGGCCCGCGTTCGTCGCCGCCGGCCGGCGGGCCCCGGCGAGCCGGGTCATTCGCGGCCCAATTGTCGCAGGCGAGACGGACGGCCGTAGCCTCCCGAGCCGCGCCGGGCCGGCCCGCTGACGTGGGCGGAACGGGACGCGGAACACGGAGGCCGTTGCTCCCGCGCCGTGTCAACTTGATAAACTGCGTGATTCATTATGCATGCCGAGTTCACAACGACGCAATTTGGCGCACACGTGTGAACATGGTCCACCGGTGTGTGCTGTCACTCCCGGTTGGCTGAGAAACTTGCCGGCAAGTGCTTGGTGTGATGTATGTGGCGTGCGTGTGTGTGGGTATGTGTGCGCGCGGACGGAAGTGCCGCCAGAACACACGCACGCGCCGGCAGCCGAGCCGTTGCTCGTCCTTGGCCGCCGCTGTGTCGCTGCAGACTGTCATGTTTCCGCCGTGTCATAAGCGGCGCCGCGTTTTCTCCCGTTCACGCCTGTCCGGCACCGGCGCCGTAATCCGCGGAGAGGACCGGCCGCCGGGTTTCCTGTTTGTCGGCCGTAGCCGCCGGCCGACTCTGCGGCTCGCGCTGGCAGTCTCGCCGGCCGCCCCGCCCGTGCAGTACCGGGCCCGGCCGCACGCTAATGGCCCTTGGCCGCTCGGAGGCGCTGCAATCTGCATACCAGGCGTCGGCGATTTATGAAATAACCAGCCGGAATGGGTCGGCTGCCGGCGCGTTCCGCGAAGGCCCGGTGCGGGCGCGCGGCGTCCGGCCTGCTGGCTGCAGCCGGGGGAGAGGGCGGCCGCCTCGCCGGCCAGCGATCCCGACTGGCGATAGCCGGCAGATGGCGACACGGGCGCCGCGCGTCCGGCGCTGCGGCGACAGCGCGCCGCGCCGGGGTCGCGCCGCCTTCCCACGCCGACCCCCGGCCGGGGAATGTGGCGCCGGCCGGCCCATTGTGCCGCCGCGCGGCCGCCGCCCGCCGCGGACGGGCCCAAATATGCGGCCGAGGAATGCGCCGGGCGGACGGCGGCGGCGGCGGCGGCGGCGGCGGCGGCCGGCCCCGCAGTCGTTCGGGTCCGGTCGCCGAGGACGCAGTGCGAGGGAGCGAGCTGTCAGCGCTGCGGCAGACATGTCGGTGCTGGAGCAGATTCGGCGGCAGGTGGGCCACTTGGGCCAGAAGGGGCGACGCTGGGACGGCGGCCGCGGCGACAGCGGCTACACCTCGTCCAACCACTCTCGGCAGACGTCGCTCGGTGAGGTTTGCCCCGCGGCCACCGCTGAGACGCTGCCGGGCCTGGAAACCTCACCACCAGCCGGACCGGCATTGTGGTTGAGGTCGCTGGCCGGGCTCCGTGTCCGAGTTCAGCAGATCTCGTTAGGGGAGGCGTGCATGTGCTGTTGAATTTCTCCGTTACGAACCATGCTCGGTCTAAAACAGCTTCGCTGCAGTCTGTTTTACTAGCGTGCTGCTGTCATATGCTACCAGATGGCGGTTTGGGCGATCAGGTCGTCATTTACGCCCACGTCACCGTCATGACCTTCTTCTCTCTCCTTACAACCCACATCGCATGACGCGCTGATAAAACGAGCTCATTGGATTCAGATACTGCAGTTAATATCCTTTGGCCCGTAGTCTGCCACCGTTCAAATTACCGGTTGACATACAGCTCATAAGGTCTTTGTTCCGAAGATTTGTGACGAGCAGCTTCTGTAAGGGTTTGAAGGGCCTCGTCCTTTTCGAATGGAAGTGAACCAACAGAGCATCACTGGCCACGCCCAGATGCTTAGCATGCGCTGCGGCATGCTCCTCGTCCGAGCGCCTCCAGCAGCGTGGCTCACCGTTGCTGCTAATTGGCTGGGCTCTTGGGCTATGCGACTCCTCCGTCACAAACCACATAACCGCATAACCCCGCCCGGCGATGACTTCAGCCGCCAGCCAGGCGTGCGTCTCTTGTGCGCCGCATCTGTCATCAGCCAGACGCCAGTCGCACGAGTTGCGGGCGGGGGTCTGCTGCCCTGCTCCGAGCCCAATGGCCGCCACCCGGCTGGTGTCGTGAGCGCCATTTAGCGCGGAGTGTCGGTTTTCCTGCCATTGGTGGCGGCGGCTGGAGGCATTTTTGTCACGCGTGTGTGCCCCGTTCAGCGATAAGAGCCTAGGTTGGTAGCTGCTGGTGATACTTTGCTCACATATTTGACAGCCGGCGGCATTTTTGCCACATGCGCTGCCGCCGCCGTCGCATGTAATGCACTGGCACGCCACTCTGAGCGCTTCACATTGCACCGAGCGACAGATTTCATGCTGGATACCGGGCAGCAAGCGTGCTTGCCACCAGGGCCGCTCACACTCTAACGCCCCGGCGCCCGTCACGCCTTGGTGGTGGTGCGTGGAGTTGGCGATGAGTTATTGCTGTTTGGAACGCCCCGATCGTGTACACCAAACACGACGCGGCAGGGATGATTTGCACAGTCTTGCTCGTTTGGGAAGACCAATGGTTTGTATGCTTGATGCCGGGGAATTGACATTTCCGAACGTGTTCCCACGTAAACGTTACAATTTGAGTTACGTAAGTATGCTAACGGCGTTCTAAACAACACAACAAAGAAACGCGATCCATCGTGCGATTCAAATAGATTGTCGAATTCGTGGAGCGTTTGCAGTTTGGAACAGATCGATTGAATGACCTAAAAAGGAATCATTTGAGGGCATTCTAAAAATACAGTTATTGATAGCTGAAGGGAAAATGCCGTAGGTATGAGTCGAGTTAAAGAACAAGGTAAAACGGCTTTAAAATGTTTTCAGCTCTAGCAACGGGATCATTGCGTCCTTGTACCGTTATGAATCAGGGCTCTGGAGCTAATCGAACGATTGGTTGGACGCATGCCCAATGTTAATGACTCTGATATGTATTACCCAGTATTGCTTGTTGGATTGCGCTGTTGGTGGCTGTATTAGAAGCTGGACTATGAGCCAGATATGTCGTCCTTGTCGTAAAGCGTAAGCCTGCGTGAGATCCTGACCCGTGCCTTTATATAGCTGACTGGAGGCTGGGGCGCTCTGATTGCGTACGTGTGCTCCAAACAATCCATGAAAGAACTGATGCAAGCAGACGGCAGGCGGCGAAATGCTGCTGGCGCTGAAGTAATGGTCTGTGCACAGCACCTGCGGCCTCCTGAATGAGCGGCTAGAAACCCACGCAGGCGTACGTAATCAGAAATGCAGCGCAACCGAGTAGATCAAAGACGCTTACGGACTTAAGTCCAAATGCCTGCGGCCGTTGTTGGTGCATCAAAGTCGAAGGCGGACGATAGAGTTTGACGCCAAACAGGCTGGCTTCCCCTGCCTCGCGACCTCTAGAATCCTGCCGAGCCTCTCCACTTCTGGTCACAGATCACGGCAACTTCCGAATGGCACCGTGTTCCGGCCGTGGCGCAGCCGAGGCCGCAGCCGCCGCCTGCGCACCTGGAAGCCGGCGCGTGTCGCTCGCTGCTGTGCGACCTTTGGCTCACGGCGCGTCTTGTTTTGGAGCCCGGCCGCGTCGCCGGTCGCCGGCCCGCGCCGCTCCATCGGTATTCGGGCCCGTCTTTTGTGCCGTCACACCAGTCCCCCGCCCGCTCCATTGTACAGTTGTTTTTCCGAGCCTGCACCCCGCAGCCCACATACCTGGGCTGGGTGCGTCACGTGACTGCATTCCGGGCGCCTGCGCAGGGGCGTCCCTCCGCTCTTCTCTTTTGCTCTCTCTCCCTCTCTCTCTCTCGCTCCCTCTCTCACTCTCTCTCGCTCTATCTCCCCCCCTCTCTCTTTCTCTCTCCCACTCTCTCTCTCCCTCTCTCTCTCTCTCTCTCTCTCTCCCTCTCTCTCGCCCCCTCCTCTGTCCGCCGGCGGCTGGTTATGCGGACAGCCGGGCGTCCCAGTTTTTGCTCAATCGGAATGAAGATAGACTTGTTGTGACGCGCTGGGAACACGAGAAACCGCGGCCACCACATCGGTCTTCGGGCCCGCCTGTGCCAACAGGCATAGCTGTGCCGGACGCGGAATGCAAGCGACGTCTTGCACCCTGTGACTAGGCTCGACAAGCTGATGAAGCAGGCCTTGAATCTGTCGGTATGCTTTGTATACGGCAGCCGCCATCCGGAGTCTAAGCTCGCGTCGTATGCGTCACTTTTTTGTGGCGTGCTGTGTCATTTCCGGCTGCGAGTGATTAATGGGGGGATTTTTAAGGAGCGCGAGGAACGCCTGGAGATCACGAGTGGGGCCTTTCTCCGCTCTCTTCTCGCATGTCTGTCGTTCTCACCGGATCTGCAAGTACCCGTCCGACGAGTGTAATCTTACGAAGGTGGAAAATACGACACGGTGCCTGGAAAATACGACACGGTGCTCATTAATGATACTGTGAATCTACGAGCCTATGATCATACTGTGTGGGGAGAGTGCGAACCAATGTCGGCAGGTACCGCAGACTTTGCAACGTAGCTGGTTGGCCCAACCCATGCCAAGGAGCTTTCATACATGTACCCAGTTGGTCCAGAAGCCAGCTGATATCATTGCACTCGGACTGCTACTTAGACTTCGTTGATGCCTCAGCGTTTGGAATTTCCGCCTTGATGTCCGGCATTGCGAATCCTGTGTGACCCAGCACCATGAGTCATACAACGCTGAACATCTGTTATTCCACGTAAAGTCCTGCGTGTTTCCTCGTCACAAGTGCCAGTCGGACGTGAGCGTCCGTTTTAGGCGAACCCGGAGTGCCCCTGTGAGTGACCGCCGCGACCGTCCGCCTGGCACGTGGGCCTTCGGTCGTCGCGAGCGACGCTAAGAGCGCCGGCCGTTAGCGGCCGCTGCGCACGTCCGCCGCGCGGGACTGCTCTGTGCGCGGTGCGGACGACCTCGCTCGCCGGTGGGTGTGGGCCTCGCGTGACCGCCGCCTCCTGCCCACAGACACGGGCGCGACGGTAGGCGCCGAGCCGTCGCCGCCGCCGCCGCAGATGGACCCGCTGTCGGTGCCGGCGCCGCCGCCGCCGTTCGACATGTCGACGGTGGCGGCGGCGCTGCCCGGCCACCCGGGCCTGGCGCGCGCCAAGACCGACGGCGAGACCTGCCTGGGCGGCCGCATGTCACCCTCCGTCTACAACCACAAGGTCAGTGGCCCGCGCGCGCGCGCGCCGCGGCCGTCCGGCGACAAGGGCGCCGGGTCCGCTGCAGAGCCGGCCGGGCCGACAGGGAGCGCCTCCCGCTTAGATAGCTGGCTGAGATGGCCGCGCGCCGGCCGGACGGCGGCGTGCCGTGTTGGTCGTGTTCGGCCGTCGCCTGTGCATCAGAAGTATTGGCCGCGGCTTCTGGAGCGTTCGGCGGTCTCGGCGCTGGCGCGTGTTGGCCTTGCGCGTCACTGACCGGCCGCCCCGTGCCCACAGCTGGTGCCGGCGCTGCACGGTCGCGCCTCGCCGGCCTATGACCTGGGCTACCACACGCTGGTGGCGCGCACGACCGCGCCCTCGCCTCGCCAGTCGCCGTCGCCGTGGGCCGAGCTGGCGCCGGCCTACCCGCGCGGTGTGACGCCGACTCACTGTCCGCGCGACTCGCCGCGGCCGCAGCTGCCCGAGCCGCCGTCCAACACCGAGCTCATCCTCACCATGTTCAAGGGCAAGCGGCCGCACAAGCCGGCGCCGTTCGACCGGCTCTCGGACGAGCTGATCCTGCATGTCTTCTCCTACCTGTCCACCAACGACCTGTGCTACTGCGCGCGCGTCTGCCGGCGCTGGTACTTCCTGGTGTGGGAGCCGCAGCTGTGGACGAGCATCACGCTGACGGGCGAGACGACCGGTGCCGACCGCGCCCTCCGCCAGATCGTCAAGCTGCTGTGCCGCGACAGTCCGGGCACGCTCTGCCCAGCCGTGGAGCGCGTGCTTCTGAACGGCTGTGCGCGCCTGACGGACCGCGGCCTCTCGCTGCTGGCGCGCCGCTGCCCGGAGCTGCGCCACCTGGAGCTGCGCGGCTGCGCCAACGTCAGCAACCAGGCGCTGTTCGAGGTGGTCACGCACTGTCCAGGCCTCGAGCATCTGGATGTGACCGGTGAGTGCGCTGGACGAGGTGTCGAGGCCGCGCCGGCCTGAACCTCCACGTTCGGGGCACTACTTCAGGTGCCGTAGGCTGGCTCAGGGCTGTTTTGACGTTGATGCACCAACTGCGTCTGGATGGGGCGTTGGTTGCGTTTCATGGTTACTTTTGTCGCGGTGGGTGTTTGAATTTGTTTCATTTTTACCTATTTCACGATAGCGTTTTGAGCTGAAACTCACTTTTAGTTCTATCGCTATTTATTTAATACGTTATTTAATTTCGACATCGACGTCATCACCCATGTCCACAGCTTTCTTCCGAACGCATCTCAGTCGTTCTGCTCATTATTGACCAGTGGTTAAAGTCTTGTGAATGACCTTCGACGCAGCGCGCATGAATGCTGTCCCACTACTGATGTACGCATCTGTTGGGTTTGTAGCAAAAGTCATTCGGGTACACCAATGCACCGCGTCGTCGTTCCCACTGACATAACGGGGTGGGCGTGAAATGACCATTGTAGTCGACGCGCCCTAAAACACCAATATACAACAACTGATATCACGGATCGGACTTGCATGCTGAGCAGCCGCGGAATGGTCTTTCATGCTTGCAGGTCGTGGCGATAGTACTAAAAAACATCACATGACTGAGAGAGAAACTAGCTGATTTGAGCTTTCGTGTTGTGGTAGCCGGAAAAGTGGCGATAAATCAAGGCCACAGCGTCCCAAACTTTTTTAGTGGCGTCGAGGTGAAGTTGCTAACGAGCCGACTGAATGACGTCAAATCGGGCTGTGCTGCCGAACTGAAACCGGTTCGATCAAAAGCACGCATTGGAGTGACCCTATCTTGCTGAATCACTGACATTTTTGCATTTTGCTTCATATAGTTCCAATTGCTTTTAACATTTTGGTCGATTGGGATCTCATGGCCAAATTGGCTGAGATGAATGAGAGTAGCCTCGCCTCAGAACAATGTCTCATTACGAAATACTCCACTCGCTCATCTCAAACGCAGCAACAGATTGTGCCCACCACATCGGTAGATCATAGTCGTGCAGGAACGCTATGACGTCACGAGTGACGCACGCGTCTGGCGCCGCCGGCCACCGTCGTGACTCCGGCGCCGCGGCGGATGCCGGCCCAGCGCCGCTGCGCTGGCGGCCCGCCGAGGTTCCGGGGCTCCGCTGTCCGACGGCTGTCGGTCGACGGTTCGCTGACGATCGGCCGAGGATCCCCCGGGGGTTCGCGGGCGGTCCGCTGACGGTCCGTTAACGGTCCGCTGACGTCCGTCCGCTGGCGGTCCGCTCACGTCCGCTGGCGGTCTGCTGACGCCCTCTGACGGTCCGCTGACGTCCGCTGGCGGCCCGCCGAGGTTCCGCCGGGGCTCCGCTGTCTGACGGCGGTCGGTCGTCGGTCGGCTGACGGTCTGCCTCGCCCCCAGGCTGCCACCGGGTCACCTGCATCGACTTCAGCGAGGTGCTGTCCAGCGTGGACCGCCAGCTGAACCTGCAGTACGTCGACCTGACCGACTGTCATAACCTGACCGACGCCGGCCTCAAGGTGATCGTGCACAACTGTCCGCAGCTGCAGCACCTCTACATGCGCCGCTGCGAGCAGGTCACAGGTGAGAGAACGCGACGGGCGGCGGCGACGCAAGGTGTGGCTGGCGCAGGGGGTCCCAATCTCGGGTGGGTGGGGCAGGGCTGCTATTTAGAGTGGAGTTATTGGGTGGCGTTGAGATTTAATATGCAAACTGTTCCAGGAGGTGAACTTCATGTGTGTTGCTTCGCCCAGGTGTTTCTGTCAGGGCTTCTCAAACACTCGAATTTTATGTATGCCGCCGAATCGCTGTCTCCCATGCAATCGTGTTACGTTTTTCCGTGTTGTATGACCGTACCAAATGGCCTCATGGAGCCCCCTCAGCATGTGCCAGTTCCTGGCGACGCTGGCCGCCAGAGCACACCTCTCGAACACAGGCGCGGGCCACCGCAGCGCCACCGCTAACCACGCCGTCCCCCCGCCTCCTGCAGACCTGGGCATCAAGCATGTGCCGAGCTATTGCGTCAACCTGCGCGAGTTCAGCATCTCCGACTGCTGCCGCGTCACCGACTACGGCCTGCACGAGCTGGCGCGGCTGGGGCCGACGCTGCGCTACCTCAGCGTGGCCAAGTGCGACCGTGTCTCCGACGCCGGCGTCAAACAGGTGGCGCGCAGCTGCTACAAGCTCCGGTACCTGAACGTGCGCGGGTGTGAGGCGGTGAGCGACGCGTCCATGGAGGTGGTGGCGCGCTGCTGCCAGCGGCTGCGCGCGCTTGACATCGGCAAGTGCGACGTCACCGACCACGGCCTCAAAATGCTCTCGCAGAACTGCCCGAACCTGAAGAAGCTGAGCGTGAAGAGCTGCGAGATGATCAGCGACGCCGGCATCAAGTTCATTGCCTACTACTGCCGAGGCCTGCAGCAGCTCAACATCCAGGACTCGCCCATTACGCTCGAGGGCTATCGGACGGTGAAAAAGTACTGCAAGCGCTGCATCATCGAACACACGAACCCCGGCTTCTTCTGAAGCCGGCTCGTGCTGCGCTGTTACGGCCAAGTGATATTATTTATTTTTGTTGAGGCGCGTGTCCGCGTGGTGCTTTGCCGTAGTGAGCCATGACCAAGCGATGCCGTGTTGTTTTAGAATTGACGTGTCATATGCGAAATGCCAAATATTTGTACATACCGCGCTTGAAGTATATGTGTCGTTATAGTTGCTGAAAGTAGCTTTTACGCATCTAGTTCGAGCATTGAGAATATACACACCGTATCAACATGGAGTCTTAAGGTACCAGAAACACGACCAATGCCCGCATTGGCAGAAAGTTTTTCTCAACTATAGGGAAACAGTGGTGGGCGATGGGGAAACGTCAGAACTCATTTATTTTGTCATACGGTTACTCATGCAAGGACATGCCTGGTCCTTTGATTCTTTGATTTGTATCAGATCAGTTTCACTACCCCGTTTTCCTGTGGCCAGGAAAGTGTCCTAAATATATCCAGCCTTGTGATGGTCGATATATGTGCGATCTACCTAATATGCACTGGACGCATCATCAGATGGTGATACCGTCGCAGCCAAACAGTTTGAGTGCCGCTGACGGAGCAGGAAAAAGAGGAGAGCCGGGGCGGGTGACTACCCAGCGAGCAGTAACTACCCAGCGAGTACCGCAGGCAGAGAGAGAGAGGGAGGGGAGAGCCGGGACGGGTGACTACCCAGCGAGCAGTGACTACCCAGCGAGTACCGCAGGCAGAGAGAGGGAGGGGAGAGCCGGGACGGGTGACTACCCAGCGAGCAGTGACTACCCAGCGAGTACCGCAGGCAGAGAGAGGGAGGGGAGACCCGGGACGGGTGACTACCCAGCGAGCAGTGACTACCCAGCGAGTACCGCAGGCAGAGAGAGGGAGGGGAGACCCGGGACGGGTGACTACCCAGCGAGCAGTGACTACCTAGCGAGTACCGCAGGCAGAGAGAGGGAGGGGAGACCCGGGACGGGTGACTACCCAGCGAGCAGTGACTACCCAGCGAGTACCGCAGGCAGAGAGAGGGAGGGGAGACCCGGGACGGGTGACTACCCAGCGAGCATTGACTACCCAGCGAGTACCGCAGGCAGAGAGAGGGAGAGGAGACCCGGGACGGGTGACTACCCAGGGAGCATTGACTACCCAGCGAGTACCGCAGGCAGAGAGAGGGAGAGAAGACCCGGGGCGGGTGACTACCCAGCGAGCAGAGTGCCCCAGGCAAAAGGACGGCCGCTGCGAAATGCTGTGGAGGGCATCCCAGGCACATTAGGAAAAGCCTTTTGGTATCTACAACGGAAGATTGCAACAATGGGCATTGAGTCGTTCAGAATTGGCTGCAGAGGATCGTCATATTGCCGCCTTGGCATGCGCGGTACAAAATAGCGCAGTGACAACCCACAGTGTGGGAAATGAATTATTGCGTTTTGTTCGAATATTGAAAGAAACCTGTTTGATGGTTGAATGTACCGATGAAGCAATTACGTGATGGAATGGGCTCACCAGTTCGCGATCTTTTCGTATGGATTGTATGGCATAAGTGCCCTCAAACCATGTTTGCCATAAAAATACACCCAGCAGATGTTGTACAATGATGACAAGATGCTTGAGATATGACACTGCCGTGCGACACAGCATGCGATTGTACAGACGTGTGCACCCATAAAATAATAAGCTACATTTCAAGAGAAACAGCTGGTGCACTGACTTTCTAAATTGCCAAGGCCCAAGATGACAGTTAGCTCCGAGCAGGCAATCTCTGGTGCTCAACGTAGCGGCAAAACAGCAAAGCCAACCGCAGTCAGCACAGTTTGCGAACCGCGTCCAGGCGTAGGCGGACGATGGCGACCAAGTGGGGCCGCCCTGCTCGGGTTTGGCAGCCACTAGACCGGCCACCATTGTCGGGCAGACGCACGACTTCTCTAGCAGGAGCGGCCGATGGATTCGGGCCGGGATCGGGCACCAATCACGTGGTGCTGGAGTGCCCACAGCTATTGTTCGTGCGCGGACTGAGATCAACGTGTGGAGCCAGGGAAAGGCGACTCGTGCAGCCTGTTGGACCTTGTCAGGATAAGGATGTGGTACATTCTCACTCCAGTCTCTACTAGGAATCTTATGAACAGCTCGGTGGATCAGAATTACGTTCGGATCACGGACTTCTTAAATGCTTAACCGAGATCTGCAGTTGCACCTTCTTTCCATAACATGTCACCGAGTGACAATGTTCTCAAGACTCTGCACAGCTAACATGTTGAAAATCGGCTCTTCACGACGCAAGCTTAGCACCATGGGCAATGATTCTCATCTATTGGCTCTCAAGACTTTCAGCAGCTGTACACTAAGGGTTAGCGATTTGAACGACTCATGTAAAGTGGAATCGAGGTTGGGGCATTCAAAATAAACACATACATGTTAGCGCGCATCTCACAGCGCAACGTCATCGCGCTGCCTGACGGTGACATGTGTGTGATCACCCAAGATGCAATACGTGGAGGCTACCACATCGCATCAGATGAGCACGCATTATAAGCTTTGGAGCCAAATAACATGCTTTGGCTTCTTACATGCTTATTCCGGTGACATCTGAAATGCTGCGCTGGGTCTTGTCACGAAACAAATGATCCTGGTCAAACCTCTTATGGTGCAGGTCGCAGATAAGGAGGACTCAAACTTGACAATTCAACATTTTACTAGGCACTATTCATATTACTTGTCTATCTAACCTTTTTACTTCAACTTTTGACGAATTGACAAGTTATTTGTCCGCTGCTTTCGTATCATCTTTCATCAGAATCCATCAATGCTCCACAAGCCAAGCTGGCCGATCAGCAAGGAACCGGCGAGGAGCTTCAGATTATCGTCCTAAGTTATTCGCCATTCGACATATCTTACATTACTTTAACTACCTCACTACTTTACATTCTTCTGAAATTGCTTTTCATGATTGAAAATAGAATAAGTTGCACGGATCCGTTGTAATAGCCGATTCAAACTAAGGTTCATGTGTTCTCCTTGGCTGTTGGTCATGTGTAGTATCCTACATTTTAATGAGGCAAATAATGTTTTTATCGAAGCACTTATGTTTATACCGATAGAGCAAGTATCAGGCTAAAACGAGTGTCGAATCACGTTCCCCAAAATACGGTGTCCCACGCGCAATATCCTAACAAAAACGCCGAGACACATCACCAGTTCTCGTTTCACTCCAGGATCTGCTCTCCTGGGAGGTCACGCGCTAGGAAACTCTCGGCTCTGCGAGAGCTGGCGGACACAACGCCAGCGGATGCACAAGCTGTTGTCGCGGACACTTCTGCGATAAGATCATGGTTTTGCTAGTCCCTGATTGCATCCTGTTCCGTCCGGCCAAATCCCTATTGTTGGTCAGGCTCTGCAATTCTGCACATGTGCCTGTGTTTCCTTGGCGCGGGGTTTCAACACCGAGAAGCACTTCCGGATGGGGATGAGGAATGGGGAGTGGGCTGGCGAAAACCGGATACGATACGGCAGTGATGAAGACTGGGGTAACAATAACGGGGCACCGTTTTTATTGACACCACGCTGGTAAGCCTAAAAGTGAAGCACACCGGCCTCGGAGGTCATCGCAACCAGAAAAGTCATGTGACTGCGCATTTGAAGCCCGCAATCCGGCTGACTGGACACCCGACCGTAGTTCCGCACGTGTTCGGCACGCTTAGCTCGGCCGCACGTGTGGCAGGTGCACCGGCTAAAACTAGTCACATCGGTGCACACCCGCCTGCAGCACATTCTTTTAGCATTCGCCAGAAGTGGTCAAACAAAACATCGGTTTGCAAACAGTGGCCAAAAGTGTTTATGGATTTGAAGAAATACTGCACACACTGCCTAACTATTTCACCGAACCGCGATTATTTTGCCAATTTTCAGCCCATTGTACTGATTAACGGGGCTACGCTCAATACCAAACTGTTGTGGTGCATACGATACTTGTTTTGTGCCAACGTGTCCTTAAATCCTGAATCATCGAAAACTGGTGCCATTTATTGCAAACTGGTCGAAACTGTTTTGTCGACTGGTTAGACGACGCTGCAGAGAGTTGCAGCGCTATTCTACTGTACTATTGTATATACATACATACATATATATATATATATATATATATATATATATATATATATATATATATATATATATATATATATATATATATATATATATATATATATATATCTGTGTGTGTGTGTGTGTGTTGTGTGTGTGTGTGTGTGTGTGTGTGTGGTGTGTGTGTGTGTGTGTGTGTGTGTGTGTGTTTGTGTGTTTGTTAGCTCTTACACTTGACCACTTTACAGTATAATAAACTTACTAATAAGAGAACTTGAAATTCAAGAATTAAGTTACAGATAGCATATGGTGTTAGCGCTATCTAGCAAATGGACTTACGAACTGGTCGGGAACCGCACTCACCAATCAACTATATCTCCATATTGTCGAAGGTGTCGAAATCACCGAATCTGGTGAGGCTGGGCGATGACGAGCCGCACATGACAGCACGGTTATGGTGGCAATACGCGTCATATATTCGGTTTGAAATATGTATATAAATCAAATGAGAGAAAGATTAACGAATGCTTGGCTCCAAGCAGGAACTACAAGTAGTTTGTCTAAATTCAGATATGAAATAAAAAACACTTATTAGGAGCGACCAAATGCCACATCCTTCTGAAAAGACACTGAGGTGGCCATTCATCGACCTAGTTCATTATCAAGACATCCGCCCTCCGCATGCGTTCCGCCATTATGTGGAAAGGCGATGTATTGTCGTTGGGGCTTTACGACGCCCGCAGCTCCTGAGGCCGTATGGCGTCGGCTGTCCCTCATCCCCGGCAGGAAGGGCGAGCACCGCAGGTAATCGAGCTTAGTACCTGTGGTTTCCCACATGCACCAGTTAACCATTACAATGTCGATATTCTTAGAGTGAAACGATGACGTCAGTACGAATCATAATAACCAATAAAAAATGATGATACGCCACGCTCGTACGGTGTGATGACTTATGCGTGCACTTTGGGTCGCACGAATAAATCTGAAATCACCAGACTGGACCTCTGATTCGGAACTCAATGAACTACGAACTCGCACGGGGTCAGGGAGACTGATAGGTACATCATGTGTTCATCTGGACATAAAAGATCAAGCGTGATACTTTATCGTAATACAAACCCAGAGGTACATTCCCAGAGAAAAGCTATTTGTCTCGGAGTGACCATGCTTGCAGGCA